CATCCCCGTTCGGTTGTTTTCCAGTCAGCTCCGACCGCGCCGGTCGGAGAAGAGCTGTAAGCAGAGGTTGATGTACTCCCGATCGGAGAAGCGAGTCGGAGTCGGAGGCGAGCGTCGTCCCTCCTTGGCTAGGCCTTTCGGTTGGAGAGGCGGACCGGAGTCGGAGGCGAGCGTCCTTGGCCAGGACTTTTAGTCGGAGAGGCGGGCTAAAGTCGGAAGCGAGCGTCGTCCCTCCTTGGCCAGGCCTTCCGGTCGAGAGGTGGGCTAGAGTCAGAGGCGAGTGTCGGTCTTCCGATCTGTCGTTAGGTATCTGGGCTGGCCCAGGAGTTGCGCGTCGTTCGCAACGTCGTTTGCTGGGTCGAGCTTTTGCTGGGAAGTAAGTCTATTAGGGACCCCAGATTTATGAACCCGACAAAGATGTAACCACTTTTTTTTCAAGTCCAATAATATAATGCATGCTCTCTATTAACACGCGTACATCGATACAATAATACTAGTGTTGAGAGATAATTAAATATGTTTCTTGGTCTTTAAACTAGAGGTAGTTGCGCTTTATATAATAGGATGCAATTAGTAGTTACTAGTGCTTGTGAATCTAAACAGGACCTATATAATACGCAAAACCATGACTAGCACGTAGGACAGTCCACAGTACGTATTCCACTCCCTTCCACTTGGCAAGATTCATGACCTAGCCCTTGGCAAATTTTACCGAGAACCGAACCGAAAAAACCGAGAACTGAACCGAATTTACCGAGAACCGAAGTCTCGGTTCTTTGTTCGGTTCTCATTTCGAGGAACCGAAATTTGTTCGGTAAAATCGGTTCCCCACTCGGTTAACCGAACTAACTGAAATTTGCTGCTTTGCTGATTGCCTTGCCGATTGGCGATTGCCTGGTCACCTGGATGGCTAGATGTATTTCAGTATTTGTGTTGTGCTGTGCTAGTGTAGTAGTGTGCTGTCTTAATGTTTTACACTCTTGCTGAATGCTGATGCCTTGCTTTAGAAGTTAGCACTATATTGAATATGCTGTTACATGAAATTTGGGTACTGTTCGATTTTTCGGTTCTACTCGGAACCGAACTGAAAGAAGCGATACCGAACTTGATCGGTTCCATGTTTTTTTTGAAGAACCACTGTTTTTCTGAGAACCAAACTTCTTCAAAGACCGAAGAACCCAGGGCTACTTGCTCCACGCGTGTATATACCGCTGCCGAAATGTACGGTAGCGTTCCATGCTCACACTGGTCGTTGTTATCCATTACCTACATATGGTTCCATATCGTTGTCGTAGCAATTTCTTAGTTCTGTCACTTTTATCCTCGCTAATAAGTTTTCGTTGAAACAAGAAACACGCTGACCAATAGTAAAGTGGAGTCTCATCGGTATTGACGATGACAATAGTAAAGTAGTCATCACTTCTATCGTTGTCACTGAAACACAGCAAGAATTGCGCCTCTTTGGATACTTCGATCTAAATTAAGTGGAATTAAGTCGATGATTAAAACTTTAGACAATACTTTAAACCTTCCATTTGGTACCTTAGGAACTAAAGTGGCCTAAAGTTTGATGCCTCGATCGGGAGCTAAAACGTGATCTAAAGTTTAGTAGCTATATATAATATGCTAGTGCCGGCTAACTGAGCTCCTAAGATCTAGCGCTAGTTTCGTTGCGGCAGTGAGCGAACCGGCCAAGGCGAGGACGTGAGCGAGTGGGCGACGCGGTCACCACTACATCGCGCGCAGGACCAGGGTACATAGAGCAGTCCCGGTAAGCTGAAGAAGTTATCCAATTAACAGTTAGGACAATTTCGGTGAGGGGTTTTATCTTATCGTTTCCAAGACTCCTATGTATTACATCTAAAAAAAAAGACTCCTATGTGTTAGAAAATAAGTTTTATCTCTGTGAAACTCATTTCATCCTATAAAACTTTTATATCAATAATATGCCATATGTCAGTTTATTTGATGCTCATGAAACTCGTATGAAACCCTTACTGAGACTGGCCTTAGAAGAACAAGGTAACCTCTATATACATGTCTTAAGTAGTATACTCTCCCCTTCAAAATATTTGACCTTATGACATTAAAATTTTATCTTAATTAACTATCATTCTTACTTTTCAATGCATATTTCTCTTCTCTCGATACACAATATACATTTTTCTTCTCCCCGTACACAAGCACTAAGCAGCATTTGTATATGATATGAGGCATCGCACAGGCCAGTGGGTTGTCTGTGTGTACGTCGATAGGTTAGGCCCAACGAGAAAACTCAGACAGACCGAAGTGGTGGCTTGTCAATGGGCTTTCCGCCGAACACACACGTACGCTGCTGGCCCATGCCCTACTGGGTTTCTTTTCCGCCAACTTAGGCTCTCACCATTCACCAAAAAGAGAAAAGAAAAAAAAAATGAACCTCCTCATCTATGGTTGTGGTCCGATTTACTCCATCAAACTAGAAAAACGAGTGTTTACCTGTGTGGTTCACAAGGTGACTTAGTATGACATGTTGCCATGTCAGCCACGAGGAAGGTAAATTGTACTATGTTAATCCTTTATAAAGGTCAAATAGATTTTATCAAAAAGATAGGGAAATAAAATTTTAAAAAATATCCAAATACTTGTTTTAAAAATTAAGGACCCAAAAATCTAATTTAACCTTAGAATTTTGTTTTAGCTCCATAGATTTTAGATATGTTTTTTCTAAAATCATGATCGACTACATTACTATGTCTAGTTTGGAATTATTTAAATCTCATATAGTTTCTTTTGGTGTTTATTTGCTAGTAGATATACTTGTCATTTTTTATAATTAGTTTAAATTGATGACTTAGACTACGTCGAAGTTGAAGTGACTTTAGCTATAAGTATCATGTAACCAGCTCATACTTTATCATATTTAGTATGAACACATATGAGAAGTTGGCACTCAAAGATGGATAGGGACGGGACGGGATTTTTTTTGTCCGTTTTCATCCCTAATTACATATATAAGTTGGGACCTCCTTGGCATGTGATGATTTCATATCATAGACCCATTGTATATTAGGACACCTATAATGACCAGTTCTAAGTTAGTATTATATCAAGTAAGAAGAAAGAGGTAAAAAAAAAACTTTGAGCTAGCTAGGGAGAAGAGCACTTTTTGCGTGTCCGAATGTATGAGACATAACTCCTCTCTATTTCTCTCTTGAATAGGAGAGATAATATATCAATAAATAACACCTTACATGTAGGGCATACCAGATGAGATGGCATCTAAGAGTAAGTGCTTGACTCTTACTATTGGAGGTGCCCTTTAGTAATAATCATGGTTCAAAATTTCTGTCAATATTTTGTGAATTTTGGTAATTTCATGGGTCGGCGAAACAAAAATCCAAAATTCCATATTACGTTAATGCACATGCTTTATTGTAAATATATGACTATAGACTCATATTTCTATCATTTATGTTGCATATTCTTCTACTTAACATGTGTGTTGTTTATGTTGGATATTCTTGTATTCAATAGATGTGTTGTTTATGTCGCATATTCTTCTACTCACTGGATGTGTAGTCATAAACTATGTTAATGTTTTGTTGAGATCTAAAATTTTAGAAAAATTGTATATCTCTTTGGTTGAAGTTTCAAAAATTTCGATGAAATTTCTGCAAAATATTCATGATTTTTGGTGTTTTTTCCTCTTTTTTTTTGCATATGGCGGGGATGAACTCAGTTCATTGCTATCACTACCAAGATCTGAAACTACCTTGGCGATCCAAAACTGCCAAGAAAAATAGATAAACCATCAAAGATATAATCCTTGGAGGCCGCCTACCAAGAGTAAAGAGCCAAGCAGATGTTTTTTTTGGCGGTTTAGCTACAATGAATAGAGCCAAGAGATTGCACATTTCTTTAGCGGTTTCGCTGGCCTACAGATCTGTTCAGATTAAGACAGATGTATTCCTCTATAAGTGATTAGGGGGTTTTGAAAAACATGATTTCTAGTTAAATGAGATGGCTACTCCAGCAAATTTGTTTTGATAGAGGAAGCGATGATACAAGGTCTTGAAAATGTACTTTCGGTTTTATCTGCTTAACAAGAAACACGTAATAACCAAGGAGATCGATACACAGCAGATTGAGAAAAATTATGTCTCCTAGATTACCTTTCCTTCATATCACCTCCCATTTTACATATATATCGTACTCCCTCTGTCCTAAAGTACATTGTGACTTCTAAAATTTGTATTAAAATACAATGCATTCTACATAATGACTATGTTTAGATTTGGCAAGATTTGTTAAAAAGGAAGCCATAATTTGAGGAGAAACTCTATAATTGGAATAATCTATAGGTATATGCGTCATTTGAGTGTTCCCTTAAATTGTCTTAGAATTTTTAGAACGCACTGTATTGCATGACAGAGGGAGTATAGTGTAAACTTTATTTCAACATCATCAAAAAAATCAAAGCTTACTTTTATAATTATTCTACCACATATACGATTCAACAACATTTAAAATCCATAGTTCAGAGTTTTAAATTCAAATTCAAATGCCAAACGCAAACAAAATTAAATATAGATCTGAATGAGTGGCATAGTTTCCATCACAGCAATACTATTTGGCAAGATATCAATTTCACATATTGTTTCAGTCATAGCGGCCGGTAGGTCCATTTTTCAGCACAAGCATGGAGTTTCAGTACAAGAACAATCTTCAGCACGCACAACTGCACAAGAAGTTTCGCAAACGGTGACACGGATTGCGGCCAGAAGACGCGGAGACGAACGGACGAACGGCTTGGATGCCAAAATTTAGCAATCAGAAGTGAAACACTCAAGTTTCGATGAATCGAAGGAGCATAACAGCCATAAAAACAAAAACTGAATCCACACAGATTATCGCACTCGAGTACGTGACCTAAACCGCATGCACTCGCGCATGCAAACACCGCACACGCATGGCACGCCTCCGTCCTCCACAAGAGTGGAGCTAGGCAGCTAGCGCCGTCAGTGTGCACCACCAGCTGGGACGACGACTCCTGCTGATGGTGGAGCCCACGGAGCATGGACCTGCGTCTGCGTGCCGCATAGCTCGACAGGCAGAAAGCTCCCGTGGATCGTCGCCGGCATTGTGGTCGTAGTGCCGCCCATGACGACTTTCCGGCGGTCGGCCAGTTCCCCGCCGCCGCAGGTGAGGAAGCACCAGGCGATGTACTTGCACGGCCGGTGTTCGACGATGACGTAGCGGCCGGACATGTAGAGCTTCATGACGTAGCAGTCATCGCCCTGCACCATGGGGTGGGCCGACGACGACCCTAGCGGCGACGACGACGACGACACTGGTGGTGCGGGGGGCGCAGTAGTTGCCATGGGAACGGCGGCATCGACGGTGGTGGAGGTGGACATGTCATCGTCGCAGATGAGGTGGCACTCGTCCCAGTAGATGGGGCAGTGGTGAATCAGCAGCGGGTCGCGCCCCGAGCAGAGGAAGCAGAAGTACATCTCAAAGTTCTCCTTGTCATCAGGGGACGACGTTGCCGAGCTGTTGGTAAATGTCGTCGTCGTGTTCACGTCGCCATGTTCCACCGGGATGGATATGGATGTTGCGAGGAGAAGGGTGGTGAGGAGGAAGGCATGGAGGAGTATGGAAGCTGTCAAAAGAGACATGACAGGCAGAGCAGAAGATGGCTTGGTGTTGTTGGTGTGATGCTACATGCATGGTGGCAGGCATGGTGAAGTATTTATGTTTCCAAATGGGTATTTTGTCAAACAATTGTTTTACAAATTTACCTTAGCTACCTCTGCGTCGTCATCAAGGACATGCCAGTAAACAACACATGATTCTCCTAACTAGCAAGTAAACAATATATGATTCTCCTAACTAGCAACGTCCACATGCCAATACTTGTGTGTTCAAAATTTTGTGAAATTCAGTGAAAATTTAAATACTCATCAAGAACACGCCGACCTGAAGAACATGTAAACGATACATGATTCTCCTAACAGGCAACATATGCATGCCAGTACTTATGTGCTCATTTTGTTTAAAAGAAAAACTAGTTGATACCCGCGCATTGCCGCGGACCCAGGAAAGAATAGCAATTTGTAGTAATAGTGTATATCATTGCATGCATGTGAGTACCATAGTTGATTAAGATGCAAAAGGATGATAAAAACCTCTAAGGTACATGTATGTTCTGAACATATATAGAGAAGAAAGGTTGGAGACTGAACATTTTTTTTGACAAAACCTAAAGTTTCGTGATGGCACAGAAATATCAGCGAAGCAATATTAGTCTTGAAATGTTATCTTGTAGTAGAGATGATTATTCCAGGCTGACACCTTGTTGGTCGTCTCATCAAGTGACGGTTGAAGTACCATATCAGGAAGGAAAACACAACGAAACAAACTGTCAGGTCATTGGGTAGCTAATTCTCTGGCTTGGACGATGCCAAGATTTAGCACTTCCAAGTGAATGAAACACTCAAGGTGTATGAGGCAGTCACACTTTGATGATGAACCGAAGGGACACAACAGCCGCGAAAAAATATCGAAGGTGTGTGGTCACAACATCAAGGCCTTTCAAGGAGCATTTGAAGTAGCATATTAGGAAGAAAAATATAACTAAATAAATTGTCATCTCCTTGAATTGGTTAGCCGCCAATTCTTTGGTTTGGATGTCAAGATTTGCAATCAGATGTAAAACAGTCAAGGTGTATATTTGTAGCAATCACTTTAATGAACCGAAGGGACACAACATTCATGAAACAAAAACCGAATCCACACAGATTACAGCACGCGAGTACGCAACTAGTTCGACACTCGCGCATGCAGACATCGCACACACGCGACACGCATCCATCCATGCATCCATGAGAGCAGAGCTAGACAGCTAGGACCGTCAATGTGCACCACCAGCCGGGACGACGACGCCTGCTGATGGCGGAGCCCGCAGAGCATTGACCTGCGTGTTGCACAGCTCGAAAGGCACAAAGCTCCCCTGCTGCATTGCGGCCGTCATCGTCGCCGTGACCGTGGTGGCGGCGGTGCCCATGGCGACCTTCTGATCGTCTAGCTCCCCGCCGCCGCAGGTGAGGAAGCAGGCGGCGATGCCATCGCAGCTCAGGCGCTCGACGATGACGTAGCGGCCGGACATGTACAGCTTCATGACGTAGCACTCCTTGCCCTGCACCGTGGCCGTGGGGTGAGCCGACGACCCCACCAACGACGACGGCGGCACTGGCGCGAGGGGTGCTGGTGCCTCGGGAATGGCATTCCAACAGTTGAGGTGGCACTCGTCCCAGTAGATGGGGCAGTAGTGAATGAGCAGCGGGTGGCGCCCCGTGCAGAGGAAGCAGTAGTACATCTCCCAGTTTTCGGCACTTTTAGGAGACGTCATCAACGAGGGTGATATTTTTGTATTTTGGTCCCTTTTGAAAACATTTTTTATAAAAAGACCCCAGCCAAAACGTTTGCTGAAAATAGATCATTTTTAGGCGTCTTAGGACATGACGCCAAGGGATGAGGGTCGGCGTCGACTGACACGACGCCGAGGTCTTGCCACGTCACGGACGACCCCGGTCGACGGCGACACGGTGGCGCATGGGGCCCGGTACGTCGGCGTCGGGTCATTCAACGCCGAAGGGCCAACCTCGGCGTGTAGTCACACCACGCCGAGCTAGCTGTACAATGAGATTCAAAACGCAATTCTACCCCAAAAACGCGACTGAACATAAATCTTTGTCCTTTCGTACCTCCTGATCTGTTTAGTTCTGGCACAAAATGTAGTAACAAGAGTTGTAGATCTATATGAGTACTACAACTTTTCTTAAAGGTTCAAAGTCTTATTTGGTCTGGTTGGAGAGATACAAGGCTCCAAAGTGGGGTACATGAAAACTGAAATCCTGAATTCAGTCATCCAGACTTAGCCAAATTTTGTGCTCCCCAAAACAGTCATGGATTCCAACTTTAGGGCTCGTTTTGACTTTCTTACAAGCTTATCTAGCTCTTGGTCCAAAAACAAAGTTTGTTCTACTCCACTCAAACTTCAACTTTTATTTAAGGTGCAACTCCATAAAAGCACTGTAAGCAATTGGTCAACACCGGTCAAAATAGCATCACGGTAAAGCTCAATTTAGAGTTTTTGACCGATTGAGGCATTTTCTTGACCTTTGCTCAACATGAATCCTTCATGACTTTTGTTGTAGAGTTCATCTAGAGTCATTTGGGCAAGGTTGCAAGGTTTGGTTGATGACACATGTTCTCATTCACTTAATAAGACCATTCCAACAAGGATATAACTTATCATTTCAGGTGACTTTTTGATTCCAAACTTCATGAAACTTTTCCAGTGACTCTAAATTTCAGGTGACTTAATAAGACCATTCCAACAAGGATATGACACATGTTCTCTCATGGGTTTAGTTTTAGCAAATGTCGGCGGAGGTTGCTCGAGTGGAAAGGGTTTGGCGGGAGGGAGAGGAAGGGGGTGAGGAAGGGACCTCCGATTGTGTGGGAGGGTTCTCTGGTCCTGATTCTTTTGAAGAACCAATAGATGAATTTCCTTTGGATGGGAAGAGTGACTTCACCCGTGAGAGACCTTTTAGATCATAACGACAAGCGCGTTGAAGATTGGCCAAAATGCCATACGGTTTGGATTGTGTTGTGCGGATGTCTGACGATCTGTGGCCGGTGGAGGCCGTCGTTTCTTCGAGATGCCGCGAGGATTTGTATTTCCTTTGAACTCTCTCCTTTTTAGATTTGCATTTGGTTTGTAGTAGTACTTATTGGTAGATGGGTTTTCGAGATTCAAGCTGTCCGGATAATCTGTGGCTTCACTAGATGGGTCGACCACCGCTCCTATCTATCCCCATCAACAAATTACATCACATATCTCTGAGGACGCATCTTTGACCTAGAGTATGGCCACGAAGTGGTAACAGGACACGTCGGACGATGACAACAGCAATGATGCAGAGGAGGCACTATGCAATAATCTGAACTGCCAGTGCCCGTACCATAAGAAGCACGGGCCTCCTTCTCCACCGCCACCGCCGCCGTCAACTGGAGGATACTATGGGGAAGGCGCAACTCAGTTCAATATGTGGGAGCATTATTAGGACCAACCTTTGTTAGTCAATCCGAATGTGGAATGCTTGTATGAGTTGTTCTTTTCAATCTCCTAAGGCATGCTAGGTTTAGTTTGCAACATGCCATTGTTAGTTTTCATGTGAGTGTGTAATCGTAGTACCTTTGCAACGTCTGTATCACTTGTTTCTTTCAATCCCCTAAGGCATGCTAGGTTTAGTTTGCGACATGCCATTGTTAGTTTTGATATGAGTGTAATCGTTGTGCATTCGCTATTTCATAAATTGCAGTTTACCTATCTCTAAGTTTCATGTACTATGGTTGATTTCCAAACTGAAAAAAAGATTTGACTCTCTCTAAAAATAGGGGATTGAAATCGAACCAATCTTCGGTTTTCCCTGCAGGAACAAACATAAATATAGCATGTCTACTCTTATTAGTATAACTCGTGTTAGTAGAAGAGGAATCGTTGAGAAAGATTTTTCATTTGAATCATGCAAATAGGATTTCAACCTATACCAAAGGTTTAGTTTAATACTTTATTCTTTCTTTTTTATGATTTATAGGCTCGGCGTCAAGTCGGACGACGCCGAGATAGAAGACCATGGCGTTGATTCGCCCACGCCAACCCTAGGGTTTGATTCCCACACCACATGAAGTTTGGGCGAACCTCTGCAATGAGAGTCGACCATGCACGCCGAGATTAACGGCTCGGCGTCAAATTACGGAATGCCGAGCTTGGGCACCTCGTCGCTTCGAGGCAAAGGATTCCAGTATGTACCGAGGGTGGCGTCAATTGACTAACGCGAGAGGTGCCCACCCTCGGCGTGTGTTCAATTGACGCCGATAACTCGGGTTCACCAAAACAATGAACTGAGCGCATACGAATATACATGAGCATCTGAATTTCACATAACAAATAACCACACCGACATACACATTCATTCAACATCCATACATACATAAGGTCCAACACATTCAACATCCTTACATAGTCCATACATATGCTTCATCAATCATCCAACATAGTCCAAACATAGTACAAGGTCCATACATAGTGCATTACATAAGGTCCAATGCATACATAGTCCATGCACAAAAGAAGCATATGAAGTCTTTGGATCTTTTAGCTCGCTCCTTGTCTAATGCTCCATCATTTTCTCCTTGTCTCTCTTTTTTTCCTACAAGAGTGCATTTTCACAACTTTTAGCGGATATTGAGCTAAGTTAGAAACCATTAATGAGAGTACCTTCACATAGCTATTTGGTGATTGCTAAAATCTGAGCCAAGTATCATGATTACCATATGAAAAGTCACTGGAAAAGTTTCATGAAGTTTGGAATCAAAAGTCACTGAAATGATAAGTTATATCCTTTTTGGAATGGTCTTATTAAGTGAATGAGAACATGTGTCATCAACCAAACCTTGCAACCTTGCCCAAATGACTCTAGATGAACTCTAAAACAAAAGTCATGAAGGATTCATGTTGAGCAAAGGTCAAGAAAATGCCTCAATCGGTCAAAACTCTAAATTGAGCTTTATCGTGATGCTATTTTGAGCGGTGTTGACCAATTGCTTACATTGCTTTTATGGAGTTGCACCTTAAATAAAAGTTGAAGTTTGAGTGGAGTAGAACAAACTTTGTTTTTGGACCAAGAGCTAGATAAGCTTGTAAGAAAGTCAAAACGAGCCCTAAAGTTGGAATCCATGACTGTTTTGGGGAGCACAAAATTTGGCTAAGTCTGGATGACTGAATTCAGGATTTCAGTTTTCATGTACCCCACTTTGGAGCCTTGTATCTCTCCAACCAGACCAAATAAGACTTTGAACCTTTAAAAAAGTTGTAGTACTCATATAGATCTACAACTCTTGTTACTACATTTGTGTGCGAACTAAAGCAGATCGGGAGAGGTACGAAAGGACAAAGATTTATGTTCAGTCGTGTTTTGGGGTAGAATTGCGTTTTGAATCTCATTGTACAGCTAGCTCGGCGTGGTGTGACTACACGCCGAGGTTGGCCCTTCGGCGTTGAATGACCCGACGCCGACGTACTGGGCCCCATGCGCCACCGTGTCGCCGTCGACCGGGGTCGTCCGTGACGTGGTAAGACCTCAGCGTCGTGTCAGTCGACGCCGACCCTCATACCTTGGCGTCATGTCCTAAGACGCCTAAAAATGGTCTATTTTCAGCAAACGTTTTGGCTGGGGTCTTTTTGTAAAAAATGTTTTCAAAAGGGACCAAAATACAAAAATATCACTCTGTTGAACTGGCACAGCAAGCATGCATGAGCTGTGGAAGAACGAGCTCCGGCAAAGCAGGGTCCCCCAATCTTTATCTGCAGCTTTCCATTAGCCCCGGACCTCATACATGGCATGGCTCCCCTCAAAACTATAGAAGAGGTACTGCATCTCTTTTACTGTCAAAACCATTTCTATATCAATTAGTAGGATGTTTAATGAGTACTCCCCCGTCTAGAAAAAAACACAATTATATGGACACGATCTTAGATCCCGTTTGGATTGACTAAAATCAATTACTAGCTGCAACAATAAAAAAAAACTCTAGCTGATAGATCTATACGACTTAGCTTAGGAGTAGTTTACTTTGAACCATCCAACTTATAAAAAACTATCAACTTATAAAAACATTAGCTGATCCAAATGGGCCATTAATGACTCCTTTTCCACGTATGTGCCTACTAGCGGGCTGGGCCAAATACCATGTTGTGCAGGAAGTTGAGAACATTTGTTACAGGGAACCGTACAAGAAGAATATATCGCTGTTTTGCACACTTTGATCTACCCCTTTTTACTCCACATAACAGGCCTTGATGCTGTGATCACACCTTTGATATTTTTTAATGGTTGTTGTGTCCATTCGGTTCATCAAAGTGACTACTTCATACACCTTCGCTATCAGAAACAGTGACTTTGTCGTGTGCCACAGGTACTCGGCAAAGACCAAAAAACATTCGGCAAAGGCTTTACCAAGTGTAACACTCGGCAAACAGCACACGGCATCTACAGTTTCGACAAATAGCTATTTGCCAAGTGTTTTTTATCGCGCACTCGACAAATGGGTTGCCGAGTGTCAAATTTGACACTCGACAAAAAAGTGGTTTGCCGAGTGTTTTTCCAAAATACACTCGGCAAAGGATTATTGTTTGCCGAGTGTTTTTGGGAATTACATTCGGCAAACCTATTTTTCAAAGAAAAATAATAATTTTTTTTCTCAGCATACCATTATTGTTTGCCGAGTGTTTTTGAGAATTACACTAGG